ATATATATATATATATATATATATATATATATATATATATATATATATATCGTCGCCGTGTGCGTACTGAAGAGCGGTGTTGTCATGCGCGTTCTGATCAGCGGTGTTGTTGCATGCTTACTGAAGGGCGGTATGTGTCGCGGGGGCACTTTTGATCATTTTGGAAGGCACTTTCTATCCATGAGTAAAAAGGGCATGTGCACTGCACAGGTTGAGCCCTATGTGTGCACGTGCCTGTACCCTGGTATATATACAGTTGAAGTCAGAATTATTAGCCCCCCTTTCATTTTTTTTCTTTTTTAATTATTTCCTAAATGATGTTTAACAGAACAAGGAAACTTTTACAGCATGCCTTGTAATATTTTTTCTTCTGGAGAAAGTCTTATTTGTTTTATTTCGACTTGAATAAAAGCTATTATTACAAGCTTAAGTTATTATTTTTTAAACACAATTTTAAGGACAAAATTATTAGCCCCTTTAAGCAATCTTTTTATTTTGATAGACTACAGAACAAACCATCATTATACAATAACTTGCCTAATTATCCTAATCTACCTAGTTAACCTAATTAACCTAGTTAAGCCTTTTTAATGTCACCTTAAGCTGTATAGAAGTGTCTTGAAAAATATCTAGTAAAATAATATTTACCGTCATCAAGCAAAGATAAAAGAAAACAGTTATTAGAAATGAGTTATTAAAACCATTATGTTCAGAAATGTGTTGAAAAAATATTCTCTCTATTAAACAGAAATTGGGGAAAAAAATAAACAGGGGGTCTAATAATTCAGGGGGGCTAAAAATATACACATACCAGGGGTATTCAATTGGCAGCCCGAAGGCAAAACCCGGCCCCCGAGGCAATTTGTTCCGGCCCTCCAAATACTGTGACATGTTGCGTCTTTTCTGCACACAATTTCATTATTTCCAATACTGCGATCACGTACCGACACACTTGTGCCCTCCAGGTGCACACAACAGAAATGATGTCACACTGTAGTGGTGGAAATTGTGCGTGGCTTTCAGCGCAATGTAATCAAAAGACACGTTAGACGAATTAATACAAATTATGAAAATGATTGTGTGTATGAACGCTGACAATAACACCAGTTCTTTAAAATTCTTAGCTAATATATTTCTCAAATTAACATTAGACAAATACAATTTTTTATTTATTCCTATTTTTATTTATTTACTCATTGTTCTGTCATTTATTTTCATTGTAAAATTATCACTCATTTTTAAATCAAAAACCTTTTCATTTATTTTTAAGTCCAAAGAGAGAAATGCACTATTGTTTTTTTTTTTTATGGATATTTTGTGCTGTGTTTGTTTACCGAGGAGCAATAAACAACACTTTAAAATATGAGCAGTTTTCTTGTGATTTTCTAAACTAGTACTGTTTTGAATTTCATAAATGCATAATAATCATGATAACCGTGAAACCATGATTATTCTTCAGACTATAATCGTACAACCAAAATCTATAATCGTTGCATCCCTAATTGTTACGCAGTTCAAAACATAACATATAATTGTGTTAGAATGTAGAAGAATCCTACTTGAGCAATACACTGATCTTGTTGTGCTTCGAAATACAACATTTGAATATGTTGGTTAAAAATGTCACGTTGTGCAATCATGTTATGTAGTTTTTAAAATACAACATTTTAACGTTTTAAATGTAGAAGAAGGTCAACGTGGGTGTTTTAAGAAGCAAAAATACAGCATACAGGCTCCTACAGTATATTGCTGTTATGTCAGGAAATAGGAAAACCAATTTAATTTGTCCTGTATAGAATACAACAACCCTTAAGCTCAGCATCTCCAATAAAAAGCGGAATTGGTGAACACAAAACAGAGTTAGAACAGATAAACATCTCAATTTTGAAATGTCAAAGAAATCCATATTTTCTTAGACAAGTTTTCAAAACGATTTATTCCTGTGATTGCAAAGCTAGCAAATTTTCATTTCTCCAGTCCTCAGTATCATATCATTCTAAAGACATCATTCAGTATGCCGAGTTGATGCTTAAGAAACATTTCTGATTATTTTCAGTGATTAAAAACCATGCTTTTTAAATACATTTTGCTCACAGTATATTTGACATAAAAAATAATACATTTATTTATATTAGAAATATTTTGTGACCTTTTAAATATATTTGCTGCGTTCAAATTAATGTATTCTTGAAAAGTAAATTATTAATCAATTAATTATTTGATAAAAATAAATAAATAAACCTTTCAGACCCAAATAATTTGAATAGTAGTGTAAATTGCCTACATTCTTGATGTTGGAAAACAAAAAATACAGTCCATTTCTCAACTCAACTTAAGGAGTTTTCTCATTTTATCAACCAAAACCCTTTTGTCTTTTGATCCGAGCCAATATCTCTGATAAATAAACAGTATAAACTGGCAAAATGTCCAATGATGTAGCTAAATAATGGCTAAACCTCAAAGTTCAACACTACAACAATTTTATCAATGATTCACACAACCAAATAAAAGCTAAATAAAGAGATCAGCAAACATGCAGCACATTTGAAAAACAAACAAACAAACAAACAAACAAACAAACAACCTAACAAACAAACAAACAGAGTGGTACTCACTGAGAGCTGTCCAGACAGATACTGAGAAGTGTCCCGGAGCATGCCGGGACTCATGGGGGACGTGACTGAGATGGATGGGCCCATTTTTTGGGATTCAAAGGAACTTGAACCTGAAAAGTAGGTAAAGAAAATTTAGATATTGATTATCCTGTTATTAAAGGGTTTTATATACTGTATCAAAAAAACAAAACAAAACAAAAAAAACATACTTGATTCAAGTTGTCCATGTGTGCTCTCTGGTATTCTAGGGACATCTCTGCAAGGAAAGAGTAAAGAACATGTTAATGACAGCAGTAGGATGCAAATAACTGAATGTCGAACTAAATTGCATTAAGACTACAGTACATGTCAAAAATTAATTCTTTAGATAAAGAAAAACACTTTAGCAATCATTCAGCATACTAAAATCCTCACTGAAGGATTGTGACAACACAAGGTGCTGTTGTGCTTTGCATAATATTAAAATTACTTAATCTTAACTATCATTTTCATTAATTAATCAGCCACAATGACAGCAATAATGAATAATTAGAATGGAAAAAGAATAATTAAGAAACAAGAGCTCCCAATCTAACACTCTGGGCTCTATTTATCCATGAGCAGAACGCAAAACGCAGGGCGCAAACGCTTTCAGGGCGTCTCAGGACGCGTTTTTGCTAATTTAAGGATGGGAAATCTGCCTTGCGCCGCGGCGCATGGTCTAAAAGGGTTGAGTTTATTTTCCTAATGAGTTATAGGTGTGTTTTAAGAATAAACCAATTAGAGTCTCATCTCCCATTCCCTTTAAGAGTCAGCTGCGTTGCGCCAAGAGCGCATTCGCTATTTACAGGACACAAAGTAAGTCTAAGTGGAAATAATGAGCATTTCACAAGCAAACAGTTAACAGTTAACAGTTTTTTTAACAGAAAACTGTTAAACAGAGCATCTACTGCGTGAGAATGAGAGATAATGGATCTACTTTCACTTTCGCTCTTGGATAGGGAAACCTTTACGCACAGACATCAATTAGTCTATAAATAAATACTTTTGTTTGTTAAACGCAAATATTCGTTTCAAAACTATTTTTAAATTCAGTTCTAATTAATTTCCAGCACATGAATAAATGAATAATAATAACAAAAAGTGCTCAAAAACCTGAGTTAAATCCTAAAACACATGCTTTGCCCCATATGGTCTAAAACCTGGCAGGTGGGCAAATCTAAGCTTGTTTTTAATAAAACAAATATAAATATGGATATAATAAATAATACTGCTAATAATAATAACAAAAGCAAATATACAAAAGCAAATTGTTATGAATGAACTGAAAAAGCCTCCCGAGATGAAGAAGACATAAAAGCAGTGATTTTTCATATTTATGTAGGCTAGAAAATAATGTTTTGTAATATTTTAATCCTTTGTATTTATATTCTATATCTATTCTTATTATATTCTATATATATCCTTAATATTACATTTTTTTCATATGTAAAGATATTTGCCTATTGCTCTCTTGTGCGTATTAAGCAGTGCGTAAGCGAGGCGCAACTCTGCGCCGGAGTTTAGACCGAGTTAGTTTTGGTCTAATGAAAAATCTATTATAGTTTCTCAAAATAGCAACGCGCCAGCGGTCCGCCTCAGTACGCCTTCCTTTTTAGACCAGAACACCTATGGGCGCACAAATGAGCGTTAATGCATTTGCTATTTAAACAGCGTAGCGCAACGCCTCCAAACGACTCTTGCGCCAAGCTGAAACTACCAAAAGACTATTGCGCCGCGCCTTGCGCCACACTGCGCCGGATGTATGATAGGGCCCTCTGTCTTTCGAAGCGGCCATTTTGCCATTTAGCCTTGGTTACAACAAGTAACAGCTTGGTTACTGCATTTGACATACTGTAAGTGATGGTCAGTTGACGAGAGGAAAAGGAACAAAATGGCACAAAATAACAGACTAACCATAACAATACCCAAAGTGGGAATAGAATATGGTAAAAAAAAAAAAAAAAAAAAAAAAAAAAAAAAGATACAGTATAAAACATTACATTTGTTAAATGAAAACTAAATTTTAATGCATAAATATTGCATGAATTGCATGACAAATATATTTGTATATATATATATATATATATATATATATATATATATATATATATATATATATATATATATATATATATATATATTTTATATTTATATATATATATATTTTTTTTTTATATATATATATTTATTTTTTTTTTTTTTTTTTTTTTTTTTTTTTTTTTTTTTTTTTTTTTTTTTTTTTTTTTTTTTTTTTT